GAAATTGATCTAGTGATTGGATTTCGATGTATCTTATACCATTAGATTTGTCTCATCAAGACGAATCGAATGGTAGTAAGATCGCCTTTCTAGGATCAATATTGGCAGAGTTATTACACAAAAACCATTAATATATTTTTAATTTTGGAAATTATTAATCTAGTGATTGGATTTCGACGTATTTTATACCATTAGAACCGTCTCATCAAGACGAATCGAATGGCGGTACGATCATCTCTCTACGATTAATATTGGCGAAGTTATGATACAATAAAGTTTTAAGTATAATTCTGGCTAAAATTATATTAATTTTTGGCCGGAATTATGATATACAAATATAAGGAATTTTTTATATAGTCACATCTCTTTATAATCACCAAATATGGACTGTCCCAAATGTGTGACTATAAAGAGAGTTGACTGTATCATCAGCATCTGGAGTAACAAATGATGTGACTTGTGTCAAAGCAGTATCATTAATATTTGATATGAAGTGTGCCAGAGTAGCAGCATATTTATCTGGAGTGTATGATGTTAGGTATGTTAGAACATCATCAGCATACTGTTCATCTGGAGCAATATATGACGCGAAGTGTGTTGGAGTAGTGTATTGTACATATGATGTGAGATTTGTATATTGTTCATTTGTATCTAGAACTTTATCTTGTAAAGTGTTATCAAATGTTGACAGGTATGAATCAATAGACTATTAAAAAAGAAATAAAACCACTTATTACTTAGTTAGATAACGAAAATTCAATGAAGAATGAATATAAAACTGATGTGTATCACATGATGCGTTGAAGTAGCATTTTGTTCATATGCAAAAACATCCATAGTGTTTTTAATGCAGTTGTTATAAGACATTATTACAGAATGTAAAATTTAACGAAAAATCAAAGAGTAAAAGCAAAAACAATTGTAATTGTAAACAATGTACTACAAATAAAGATTAATTTTTATTATTCTGTTACACTAGGTCTAAACACCCCATGTATAAAATTTTATTATTCTGTAACACTGGGTCCAAACACCCATATATAAAATTTATATAGTTTTGTAATACCAGGTCTAAACACCCTGGGATATTATTTGTATTTTAAGAAAGCTACTAGTATCCAGTTATTTTGATTATATATCTAGACATCTGATAATAAATAACAAAATTTATTTCAATGTACGATTCTCATAGGATCTTCTACAATTACATCAGGAAATTTGTTTAGGCGTAATTTAGTGTAATATTTTGAAGGTGGTGTAAAATTTCGAAATATTACACTAAAAACATAATATTACAAAAGTTTATACTCTTAAATTTGAATAATTATAGTAATTTAAGAATATCTCACTATCTACTGATCCAATCAAGACGATCTATAGCTCATTGGAATCAGCTCATCAAGACGAATCGAATGGTAGTAAAATCGTATCTTTACGTTTGATAGATGACTTTCTATTAATTTAAAACTTTACTGCATACTATAGAGCGTTCTATCAACTGTAGAAATGCGATTTTACTACCATTCGATCCGTCTTGATGAGCTGATTCCAATGAGCTATAGATCGTCTTGATTGGATCAGTAGATAGCGAGATATTCTTAAATTACTATAATTATTCAAATTTAAGAGCATAAACTTTTGTAATATTATGTTTTTAGTGTAATATTTCGAAATTTTACACCACCTTTGAAATATTACATTAAATTACGCCTAAACAAATTTCCTGATGTATGATCTTGAAGTTTATTTGTATATATAAGATTTACAGCTGATTGGTCTTAGTTTAATTATATATTAATCAGATTCTATAACTTGGTTGCCTAATTCCTATTTTCTTTAGAAGTTTGTGAAAGAAGTGATCTAAAGAAATATTACTTTTCTCATTTGCTTTACTGGAACTTAAATATTTTTTTTCTTTTTTGGTCATAATGGTTGCTTTATAAAAAAAGAGGGCATTATAGTTAAGAATGGGTTATTTTAAATGAACCCTACCTTCTGAGCAAAAATTCATGCTTTTATGTATAACAAGTAGTTTGATTATTAATAATATTAGAGGGTTTTTTTATTTTACTTATATAATTAAATAAATTAATTTAGCTTTAAGCCTTTAATACTTTATTTAATAAACTTCCAAATGTATTGGGTTAAACAAAAAAAGTAATTTCAAAAATTTAGGTCTTAAATAATTTGGATGATCTTCATTAAATAATTCTATTAATTAATTTGTGATTCACGTAACAATCAGAGAAAATTACTATTCAAATTTAGGAAGAAAATAAAAACGTTTTTTGCGATTATCTCGTGATTCAGTAATTCAATCTCGATAAAAGTTTTATGTCGTGTAATTCTTTACATCTTCTATAAAATAAAAAAAAGATCATCAAAATTGGAACAATAGAATGTGAGATAATCACAAAATCAATTTTTCCCAGAGCATATCAGATTCCAGAAAAAATTGATTTTGCAATTATCTCACATTCTATTGGTCCAATTTCAATGATCTTTTTTTATTTTATAGAAGGCGTTAAGGTTGCGGGCGAAACTCCATAATAAACGCAAAACTTGACAAAACTATATTAAAATATTAATAAAAATTTGGTGAAACTTGACTATAAAAATCATATGAAATGACAAAACTATAATAAACTCTTATAAAAAAATTGACAAAACTGAGGTTTAGACGTTTTGCCAAATTCAAAAACCAGTTTAGCCTGCAACCTTAGAAGGTGTAGAGAGCTACACGACAAAAAAATGTTCATCAAAATTAAATCACTGTAAAATAATATAATCGCAAATAACTTTTTTATTTTTTCCCCTAAATTGAATAGTAATTTCGTAAATTTTCTCTGATTGTTATGCAAATCACGAATTAAAGTGAATTAAATACATTACAAAAATTATTTAAAGTAACCTAAATTAGATAGTTAATTTCTGATATTATTATATAATTTTTACATGTTACCCAAATTATTTTGAACTGCTGTAATTCTAAATTCAATTATGGCATTCCAAATTATTTTGGCACTTTACATAATAAATTACATATAATTGCAGCATTCCAAATTATAATTATAGCATTCCAAAATAATTTGGACAGCATGTATAATATAATTGATGATACAATTTTACTTCTAATCCCTAATATAATATATAATTGATATAATTAATACAATTTTGTTAATAAATTTTTTGAATTTTATAAATGTAAAATAAAATTGCATGTTTATATATGTTAAAATATTTTATACTGATATTAATTATGTTATTTATAATAATATTATATTATCATATAAATTTTTTTTTATAAACTGATAATTTGATATACTAATGCTTTTTTTCCAAAACAGCAATATTGGTATATAAATAAACCTTTGCACATTTGGTTTTATATAAATCTTTTCTGGATATGAATACTACCATAAATAATACTTTAATAAACTTTTAAATATCCTTAAAATTCAGTATATTTGTATATTATCAGTATGCAATTTTTCAGAGATATATTTTTGTTTTAATAAACACAGCTCTTTTGAAAATACACTTAAAATCCAGACATTTTTAATATATGTTAAGTAAAAAATCCTTTTAAATGTTACTTTAATGCAAATTTTCTTATCGAACCAAATCTCATAAACTAAAGTTAAACTTCTATTGTATTAATAATAACTGAGGATTAAAAATTTTAAAAAAATAGACGAAATTTTGAAAGTTATAAGTAAATATCAAGTGTGACCTATACAAGAGATGTTTAAAAAAAATAATAGCAATAATAGTAATAATAAACAATTATAAACTAAAATTTATTACTTTTAAATAAATAGTAGCCTAGTTTTTCAACATTAATTAAAAGAAGACACCTGAGCCTGCGTTGTGTTTTGTACATCGTGTGCAAGAAACACTGCATCTTGTACTAGCGGATAATCTTTAATAACATTCTTGCGTTGTCTTAACCCTTCAGTCAATGTTGATGGGGTTTTAGTTGTATCGTTGATTTCTTCTCCATAAGAATTTTGTTGTAAATTATTTTCATCTGAGCTTTCGGGATTTTTATTTGGACTCCATAAATCAGGCATCTTAATTTTTTTAAAATTAGGATACACAAAATTCTCGCAGAACGCATTTCGTAATTTAGATATGATGATATGAGTAATTTTAGGAACATCCTCAAGTTTGGATCGTGAGCCTATTAAAGATTGGACATTAAATTCGAGAATAAAGTCTGGTAACACCGAGACTAAAATATATGAGGATTCCGGAGAAGTCACTATCTCCAAAGTTATCTAAAATTATTTAGTTGCGGCATTGTCAATGTTCTGGTATAGTATAAGTTGAATATATTAAATTTACAAATGTAGTATCCCAAATTATGTCAAATTTATTTTCAATTGCCTTACCGTAGCAGAAAATTTGATCACGGATATAACTAATGAAATTGGTAATACGGCTATTTTTGGTTTAGGCCAGTTTAGAAGTATTTGAGTATCGATGCCAAGAGTGATATGATCGCTATAATCACAATCAACTTCAACTCTCTTATTATAAGATAATTTTTTAATTAATTAATTTCCCAATTACACACAATAACTATATAATTTTATCACATTTGATTAAATACCATTTTTCCAAGAGCATCAGCTGGTCTTATTCGTGCATTTTTAAATATAGGAAATTCCTCTCCAATATCAAGTCGCGTAACCTCTATGGGTCCCTATTTGTAATATATTTAAAATCTTATCCGCTATTTTTTCCCTTTTTTTAATGACTCACCACGAAATTAGGCCTAACTCCACTATTCAATATTTTATCAACTATGTGCACTAAACGATTATCTGTTTTAGCATCATTTCTATATTGATATATAGTCTGTGCAAATAAGACATTTAGCCAAGCTGTCGATTCAGGTGAGGCTGGATCATATAGTGTTTTAGATAAAATAATTGATGCTGGGGAAGATGAAGCTGTTTTCGTATTCAGAGGCGTAGAGATAGGAAGAGGACGCTAAAAAACATTACTCTTTTATTTTCATTCTGATTACATTTTCACTTAATCAGTTTTCAAAAACATAAAATTTAATGATATTAAATAACAACCTTGAGATTGGTTTTTTTAACATCTTCTAATAACATATATTTGATAAAAGCGAGTACCAAAATCACAACCGTTAATTGGCCTAGAAAAAACCCTTGCATAAAAGACCAATTACTTTCTGGAAGTTTGGAAACAACTTGATCTAAATACTTCTGCACTTCTGGCGAAATTGATTGTGCACAAGACATGTGTACTAGCTATGAAAGAAAGCAAAGATTTGATCTGGTAAATGTTAATCATATATACTCTTTTTTGATTGGTGTGACATTGCTTATACTCCCGTTACCTGGTACGTGGACTTACGCATGACAGCAACTTTTCTTGTCATTGGTAGTACAAAGGCGTGAGATTCATAAGAAGGAAGAGCTTAATTTAGGAGTAGATCAACCCACCTCACATCAATAATCGATAATTGTCTACGAAACCAAATAAATCAATTACATTTACCTTGTAATTATACAACAATTGGACATTGGTAACTTCCTGACATAAAATTTTAATTAACCTTTTGCTGAAATTGAACTTTGTCAGTTTTTACTCGTGTGCACGCAATGTCCTTCCAGGCCAACCCGGAAAGTATGCTCAGATACCCAGAACAAATGCAACACGATGGTCTTCTAACTGAACAAGATCAAAAATTTATTACTGAATTTTTTAATACAATCGCAACCGAAGAACCACCAAATCATATGATGGATATCACACATCACAGTCAAGCGAGTCTTTCATTTCACGGTATGTTGAAAATTAGTATAAATCACTTATATTTGAAATTTGCAAAAAATTAATGCAATTCCTTTATAAAATTCGTTATTGAAAACCGTCATAGACGCTCAAACTTCAGTAAGAGGATTTCAAGCAGGATTTGGTTCTAACTTTGATGCTAATGCTGGGTACGCTGGAACTGGTGGATATATATATCAACCTATCGGTTCCGCCTCCATTACCATACCGGCAAACCATGGCTATATTCAGACAGCTAATTTTCATCAAACATCTTCGCATGCTCATAATAATTATGTACAACCGCAATATCCTTTAAATCATCAAATATCGCTAAATAATGGATTAAATATTCATAGTACTGGAAAAGTCAAATCCATCGCAAATAACCATCCTTCAGCATTGTATATAAAGACTGAACCAACGACAGTTAATAATAGAAGACAAAGATCGCAATCACCGCCAAGATCAAATTTAGTAGCAAAACAAGCTTTAAAACGTACTCCTTCTCGGCGAAAGTCTATTAAAAATTCAAATGACGTAAATACATCATTAAATGAATCCAAATCAGATGAAGGAAGTAATTCAACGACATCTACAGTAATTCCTACACTTTCTTCTTCTCCGTCTGGATTAAATACTGGATCATCATCGACAACAGAAGCAACACCAGCATCGCCAAAATTAGCATCCACATCAGAATCAAATAATACTCAACCTCCAACACCGGCACCGAATCGTGGAGGAAGAGGGAAAAAAGGACATCACGAACTATTAACTGAGGCAGAAAAAAAAGCAAATCATATCGCATCTGAACAGAAAAGACGACAGAACATTCGTTTGGGTTTTGACCAATTAGTTGAAATTGTACCAACACTTAGTCAATGTCATCGAAGCGAGGCATTGATTCTTCAAAAATGTAATTTATTTTATTTTAAATATTCATAGAATAGTAGTAATATCAAAAGGATTAACATTTGTGGATATTGCAGATTCTTTTTGATACTTTTATCTCTAATATATGATTTTTTTATATATATACTATTCAGCTGTGGAATATATACAACAGCTCCTAATGCAAAAAAATGAATTAAAAGATCGAGTCAAGTCGTTGCAGGCAACATTAGGCGATGCGTAAGTTGAATTGCGTCTTTCTTTATTTACAAATATTTAAATTTTTAAATTTGATTATTATTCAATTCGTACTTTTACAATTAACAGACCCGATCATGTGGATGATTCGGTAAGTAATCATGTAAACGATAAATTTGATTACTTTTGATCATGTGATTGCACATTCTTATTTCACATTTCTTTATATAATAAGTCATCTGACGGAGAACTCGACCTTATCTTCTGACTAGTGCGAGAAAAAAAAAGAAAAACAATTAACATCTAACAAAATCAACCTGAACATAACCAATAAATTGGTGATTTATTTATTTTTGGTTTTTTTTTTATTACACTTTTACTATTTCTTTGTATAATAATTTCTCCCCTTTTTTTATTAGTATCATTAACATGATTTAGAGGTTAAGCTTGGGTTTATACCGACATGGGGTTCTTTATATATGAAGATTTATTCTGATTGAGAATTCTCAATTTAGAAATATTTTTATCTTTGATTCAGTCGCGACCGTTCTTTTATAAAGATTCAGGCTTCTTTATTTTATTTTTTTTTTTTGTAAAGAAATATTTACCTTATATTATTACCTAAAATAGATGTTTTGTCAAATGTAGCAATCATTGACAAATTCATTAACCAAAGAGTTATATGTATGTATACTGAATTGTCGTAGATTAGTTTGTTTTAAAATGTAGGATAAAGATTTAGAATACACTAATTCTAATTGATGAAATATGTGTTAATTGTGTTAATCTCACATCACTTTTTTTATTATATTAAATAAATTAACATCTTCCTCGCAAATCGTTATTTTTATTCAATCTCATCGGTTGTATCCCTTTAAAATTTTTTTTTTTTGGTCTATTAATCTTTATTATTATTTGAATCATGAACATTATTATTACAATGTTCGAACCCAGTCGTCAGACTAGGAAAGCTCAAAACATTTCTCTTAACTACAACTTTACCAGGTAATTTCCGTTTGTTAGTTAATGTTTTGTTGGCTGGGTGTGGAAAAGACCGAAAGGTAAGATGTTGTAAAGTACGGGTGTAAGGAGAAATAGTATGATTAGAATTCATCAAAGTGGCAAGTTTTGCAGCAACTGATGTTTCAGATGGCTGAAGAACAATCTCTTGCTGACGTAAAAAAACATCATGCTCATTCGATGAGAATGTAGAAGCTGAAACGCTTTTGTGATTGATATGCTGATGAGAATCACTTAAAGAAACGTTATAAGTTACGTCATCTGATGTATTAGATGAAAATAAAGAATTCTGATGCCCTAGAGATTGAGTTCTTTCAGCAGTTTGATATTGATTATGGCGTTGAAGATTTGCCATTGTCACTTTATTAATATTCGAGCTTGACGCCGGAGAGACCGTTTCAGTAAAATGATCCGTTATTATTGGTGATAACGGGTGTTTTACTTCACTATGTATATGTCGTCTTAATGGTTTTCTAACATCGTACTGTTGCTCTTGTACAGAAGGTAACCAAGTTGGTAAAGAACCTCTTCTCTGAGGTTTAGGAGATACGAGAAATCGTTGACGATGAAAAACTCGAGGACGATTTACATCTGAATAATGATCTTTGTTCGGTTGAGATATTGCTTTTAAGCCTTCTTCCTTTTGACGGTCAAATAAATCACCGAAATTTGAATATGTAGAACATCCTGGGTAACCATCCAGAGAGTCAAGATCTCCCATATTAGAATAACCATCCTCCGCATAAAATGAAGATTCGGGAGAGATGCTTGAGAATTCCGAACTTGGGGTTGATAATGGTGTATGATAACGAAGGTCTGGCATAGACATTGTATCATAAGGAGTATTTTCAGGTAAATTATGGAGAGGACTATGGTCATAGTTGTGATCTTTTTCTAATAGTTCTTGTTTAAATGTTGTTTCTTCTTTTTGTTTATTACAATTAAGCCATTTTCGTAATGATAATTGATGAACAATTGAAGGTAAATCTTCCTGGAACATTATCCTCAATCTTTTCTCAATCTCTGTTTGCAAAAATCGTTGTATGCTAGAAATACTATCAAAGGTAGATGAAATATCTACTTTTTCTAATGGATCATTTTTAAATACAAGTGTAATCCCTTTTTGCTTGCTGACTACTAATACGATAATCCCACGTAATTTTAAATTACTTAATCGAAGTAGCATAGGTACAACAAGAGGTTGATCAGCTGCAAGAATTCCTCTCCGAGTATACATGCTTACATCTGATTTATTACTGTTCATTGGATTTGCCTTAAATAAAATATAAATGATCAAGTAAATTATTATATTTATATTTAATATTAATAAATGATGTTATTTATACCTGTACTTTAGTTTGCAAAGTTAAATGGGCATCTCCGCTATATATCAGTTTGAATATTCCTCTGAATTTATCAACTGCCAATTCTCCAATTTCCATTATTTCCAACTCAGGAGGCTACATAAAATTTCTCGTAAATAATTTATGCCATCACATATTAAAATATTATTTTGAAAAAACATGCCCTAACCTTTGTGCCCATGTTTAAATCTTTCACTACAATATGATCTACTATATTGGCTGGTTTATTACTCTTATTAAGTGCTGTCGTTAGTAGTTGCTTTGCTTGCTCAACGAATTCAGTAGTAAAATCAGGCCAATTGAATTTGAAAGCCATAACCTTAGTTATTTCTTTTTGTCTATCAGTTGTGGTTAGAAAACTTGGATTGTTATTAGCATTTAAAAGCCTATAAAAGAAAGAACGAAAAGTGGGATAAAAAAGAAAAGATATAAAAGATATTCATAATAGATAGGAAAATTTTTTCTAATCGGAACACTGTACGTAAATTATTAACTGCTGATCCGGTATGATCGGCACTGATTCAAATACGAAATTCGGTGATAGCAGAATCACTGTAACGAAATACTAACAGGAACTTCTTACGAAACTGGTAGGTGGAAATGCCCCGTCGGAAACTGAAAACCAACTAATGCCTATGCGTCTGTCAGAAAACGTATATTTTTCTTATCCCCCCTTTATAAATCTATTTTATTCAAATATAATACTTAAAATAATATTTCTTTTTTGAACTATATTAAAGACGAGAGTTCATAGGTAATGAATGTTCAAACTCCTCGGCTATTGTTACGAACAAGGAGAATTTTCATGTAGAAACTTCAGCTACAGAAGCAAATTCATATTTTCACGGTAAAACAATGAGAAAATCTAGTCAACCAAAATACAATTGAAGAACTTCAAGAATATATTCCTATCAGCTAAGGCACTTCAAAATCAAAATACATGCTGTGTATGTCGATGATCAATGTATAATTAAGGGTGTTAATTTATAATATTATCCAAATGAGGTTGGGATATATAAAAAAAAAATTTTTGAAAAATAATCCCTCATTGACATCCGGAATTCCGGATGTTTTAATATAACCAATTTACAAAAAGAAATAAAGGCAATTTTTTCAGCGTGTAATAAATAACTATAAGTTAAAGCTACTATCATTTTACCGAATTTTATATCAACATAATAATATTAAAAGAGCTATGTCTCAAAGAAATTATCAAAGTAAATTATGATTTGTTTATATAATAAAGATTGAAAAATCCAAAGTCATCTGTAGTATATCATCGAATAATTGTAGTGATGAATTATGTCAAAGGTTAGATGGAGGTAGTCAACTAACCACTAACAAGAATACCTGTTGAAATATTGAGCTTGTACGTAACCTTGGTAAACTTTCTTCGTTAAAAAACAGTAATTGTGCCTGTATACCAAAGCTTGTGTTACTATTTTTATGAAAATAATGACTCCCTTTTTGTAAGTCTATGATTCAATGGTCAATGCTTAAAGGATAGCATTATTTAAAAATATAACAATACACCCCATTGATTAACCTTTACTTATACAATAAATTTGTTATTTCATTTTTAGTTGAAAATTTTTATGGATTTTTTTAGATACCGGCGATTTTTTGTGGATACGGATGTCCAAAAAATCTATGTCCGCGTCCATAGTCCGCGGACTCTGCGGACACAGACAAGCTGTTGACAAATATTTTGGCTGGAATTAACAAGAAAAACGGCTGACAAAATGTCCCGGACATGAACTATCCGGTCCGGGACTGTCCAATGTCCGTGTCCGTGTTCCATGACAACACTACCTTATATAATCTATAATATATAAGTTATCAATTATATAAATTTTCAAAAAAAAAGCTTATTTTAAAAGTATTTTCAAAAATTTTAAACTACATACTTTTATTTTTAAAATTAATATTTCTTTTGGTTTATTTATTAAAATATTGGATTTTATTATATTAATTTTAAAAATAACTTAACCGAAATTTTTTAAAATTTTAAAGAATAATTTATATAGTATATGAGGACAGTGAAAGTTATCAATATAGACATAAAATGTATGTTGGCAGTGATGAGAATCTTGTATAATAAGGTGCACTGTAATTATATTTATAATTGCTTATAAACCTACCTGAAAAGTAGTACCCTATATTTTCTCATAACTTTATACCTGTATCGTCTAAAGCTATCTCTATTTTACATTCAGGATCAACCTTTGAATTGTAGTTTAAGATGATATTGAGAGCAATAAACTTTTGGTCTTTATTGGATGTGATAATACAGAGATATAGCTTTTTTTCTGCATGATAATCACAAATAAGGTATGTCTTTATAAATTCCTTTCAGAATAAACTCATGTTTACAATACCTTTCTCCTTATCTTTTCCAATGGGAAGTATGTTTTTTATTTTAGACAAAAAATACTTTGATGCCAGTAATCATAATAACTGCTTTCTAGCCATTAATGATAATGAAAATTTTGATTAATGTATTCTTTAACTTTTTTTACATTCGATAGTTTGCTATTTCATTGTTAAAAGTTGAAGTTAACTTTTTATTATTTTTTATAACATATTTATTACAGTTTTAAATACCTATTAAATAATTTTCACCTTCATATCTGATCATCTAGTTTATCATATTATCTTTTCAGTCTCTGAGTAAAAAATGACAGGAGACATATTAAAAAGTTTGAAAACTTAGATTAGGTTATTTTTTTCAAAAAATAATTCTAGCTATACTTAAAGTATATTATCCTAAAAAAAAGTTTTAGTTAAATAAAAAAAATAATTATAAAATTTAAAAAATACTTAATAAAAAACAAATTTATTTTCCAATATCTTTCCAACAAAAGGAATATGTATAAAAGGGTTTGTAATAGCAAAAAGGATGTAAAATCTATTAAAAAAAACATTAGTAAAGCCTTTGCAAGTAATATGGAAAATTTATCACATTAATGTATGAAATGTATAATTTACATTTAGATAAATATCATTTAAAAATATACTATTATAGAAAGAAGTTGAATGTCTTAAAAAAATTTACCTTAAAAAAAATCTGTCTTAAGTAACTTAGAAATTTTTAGGTAAAAGTAAAATAGCAAATTAATTTTACTAGATCATTTAAATGTTTTATTGAATGGTCTATTCTAGATAACTAAAGTGATTTAGGTAACCTAAAAAAATTAAATTTCTATACTTTTTTTTTATTTTTTTATTTACACATAAAGAAAAAAAAATTTTTTTTTATAAAATTTTATTTTTACTAGATTATCTAGGTCCTAAAACAACTAAAATAAATAATACAAAAATACGTCAAAATAAAAAAAGAACACTTTCTCATATAATAAATTTTGCCCTAAAAAGTGATTGAGTAAATTTTTTAATTTTTTATTAAAATAAAATTGCAAATGATGCATATAAAAATCTGTCTTATTTTACATTCTATTTTGCATTCTAATATATCTAAAAACATATTAAAAATACAATAATATTTTAAATATTAGAATACAAAATCAGCATACTTATATCTAATAACTAATAAGCAATAGTTAGATTGCAAAAGAGTATATTTTCTATCAATCAAAAAGACTGACCATAATAATACTTATCGTATTTCTGATTCACTAATTAACTGATCACTAAACCAAATTCTCAAAAGTTATTCAAAAATTATTCAAAAGTTATGAGAAAGTAACATCCAAGTTGGTACTGAAATTAGCAGATTAATAGAAATATTCCAGTTCTCTGCCAATTCTATAACAATTTCAAAGGAATTCCAAGTACTACCAAATATACATGCTGCCCAAATTATTTTGGGATGCCATAATTATAATTTGGGATGTCGTAATTCATTCAATTTATATATAATTTACTATGTAAAGTGCCAAAATAATTTGGGATGTCATAATTGAATTTGGGATTTTACTTATAATTACGGCAGCCCAAAATAATTTGGGTGGCATGTATACTACCAAGTTACTACTATAATACTAGCTTGGATCTTCAAAATCACATGCTCTAAAAATTAATCTGAATTTATAGTTATGTTATAGTGTCAGCCAAATTTAGATACAAATCATATATGCATTACAATTTGTAATGCTGATTATTTAGTTTTTTACTACAATCTGGCATTTAAATGAATAACAAAATATATAAAGAAAGAAACATCTTTGACATTTTAATAAATAATCAAAAAGATGCAGAAAGGTAGAAACTTCAATATAAAACTGGTAATCCAAACAGATGTAAACAGTCTGCACCTTTAACATAAAACTTAACAACTAATCAATTAAAAAGTGTAAATTATATTAAAAAATATTTATTAATATACAAAAATAGGTATATTTAAATTATTTGATTATAGTTATATTTTGATTATTTAATTAATTACATGATTATAAAAATAAATAGAAAAAAATAAAGAAAAGTGATTTTAAAGACAATGAATATAGTAGAAAAATAAGAAGGTATAAAAAATGATCATACTTAAGTTATTTAATTAGATTATTTAATTATATTTAGGTTATTAACTTTGGATTATTTAATTATATTTAAATTATTTGGTTATATTTAGTTTATTTAGTTATATTTAAATTATTTAATTATGGAAATTACTATGTACTACCAGTGGTAATTTATACCAGTAGCTTGTAGCTTTGTGTGATTTGTGTAACTATATAAGTTAAACATTTATTGATTATCTGATTTCATCATTTTTTTCCCATAAGCTTTTCTTTTTTTTCTTTTTCCGTAAACTTTTTTCTTTCCTTCATTTATCATATAAGCATTCCTTTTCCCTATTTACTCATCCTTTTCCTTTTAATATCATTTACAATTCCTGTCTTTATTTATTATATACTAAGGTATGATTTTTTTTTTAATAATTTTGAAATATTTTGTTATGTTCACTATATTACACATGTCAAATGACCAAAAATAGGCAAAAAAAATGGATAGAATTGCATAAATTATTCGCAAATTTATATAAACTATTTACAAATAGTATAGGTTAATTCGCAAATAGCCAAAAACAGCCAAGAATAGCCAAGAATAGCCAAGAATAGCCACTGCTTTTCGCGCCATTTTTTTTGCCAATTTTTAGCATTTCAACCTGTGTTAAATTTAGAAACTAATGAACTACTTTTACAGAATCTAATGGAAGGGTTTTACATAAACTTTCAAAAGCCTTTAGTACAACAAACTAATTCTCTATTTAGTACTCAAATTACTGATGACTTAGATGTTAATTTTACTCAAACAGATAAATTTGGAATTACATTATAGATGATAAAAATGATGCAGTTGAAATGAGAGTTGGAGATTCATTTAAAGATTGGGATATAGTTTAATATGTATTCAATTCTTATGCAAAACAGCATGGATTTATTGCAAGAAAATGCTGAAAAGATCTTGATGCTAATGATAAATCTATTATTCGTCGCTATGATTATAATTGCTAGAAGTCAGGTATTAACAAGCCAAAAAAAGTAGAGGACATTAATACATATCATGATAGTGTTTCAATTAAGACTAACTGTCCATGACAAGTCAGTTTTTACTTTGGAAAACAAGTGGGTAACTGGATATTATTTATCTTATGAAGCTTGTTAATGATTATAACCATATATGTAATACTGAAACTATAAACTTGGCTCCAAAAAATCTTCATCTTTCACAGTCAGTTTTAGATAAGATTAAACATTATACTATTGATGGTCATCTGGAAGCTGGACAACAATATAACTTTCTCATTAAAGAATTTTCTTAATATTATATTAAAAAGAAAAATTTGTATAATGCAATTAACAAGTTTCTTGGTACACAAATTCATGATAAGTCAGATACGGCTACATTACTTATGGATCTTTTAAAACATCATGATAAAGATCCTGATTATATAGTTTATCCACGTTTAGAAAGGCCATCAAATGAACTTACAGGACTCTTCGCCAACAACACAATGAACTCTGGTTTAAATTTCATGATGTTATAATTCATGATAATATAGCTAAGACAAATTGTTATGATATGGCACTCAGTTTATTTGTTGGCATTGATAATAACTTTAAATTAAGAATTCTTGCTTAAGCTTTAATAAAATATAAAATACAAGCTGATTATGAATGGATATTGTGTTGTACATTAAAAGCAACAAATAATCTAATACCCCTGGTATTATTTACAGATGAAGACCTAGCAATGATTGCTGCTATTCATATAATATATTTACAAACACGCCATCTGTTATGTATTTATCATATCTCTAAAAATATTAAAAAGAAGGCTAGATCTAAATTACATGGTGATATAGCCAAAACCTTTGTTGAAAACTTTTACCATATGAGAAATAGCTATATTACTTAAGATCAGTTTAAATTTAGATATAATAACATGCTTGTAAAATATAAACAATGTCACTCTTATCTTGAAAAATTATATTCTAGTCATGAATCCTGAACCAGGTATTCTATTGTAAAAGTGTTTACAGCAGGTGTAGAATCAACTCAACAGGTTGAGTCTATTAATGACGTCTTTAAAAAGCATTTGGATCGGAATACTTTATTGAAAAAATTAGGCAAAGTAATTGAACAAAAATTAGAAAATGAATCACAATATACCAGAATCAAGGATTATTATGGATCAAATCCATCATCTGGCCTTCCATTAACTTATTTTACAATCTTTAAAGATATTGATTCTGTATTAAAAGATTATTTATCCCCAATTCCATTATCACTTCAACAAGTCCAAATAAAATAAGCTATATTATATCAGGGTACTTTAATCATAAAAAACTAAGTAAGTTCATTTAGAATTGGTATTGTAAGTGAATTTTTGTTGTCTTTTATTTTATTAAATTTACATTAGCTTAGGGTTAGAATTAGGATTAGGTGGGTTAGTTTGTTAAGAAAAAAACTTAATTTACATTAGCTTAGGGTTAGGATTAGGATTAGGGTTAGGTTATGATAGGTTAGTTTGTTAGGAAAAAAAAACTCAATTTGCATTAGCTTAAGATTAGATTAGGATAGGTTGGGTTAGTTTATTAGGAAAAAATTTTAGATTTTCATTGCATTGTATACTCATTATTTATTATACTCTATATCTAGGTTAATGAATCTAATTTTTCATCCACTGGCATAATTGAGCATATTTATGATATGCCTCAAATTCAGCTATATGAACTTTTATTGGATATACCTGAAGATAATATTTAAGAAATTTGTGAAGTTATTTATGTTTCAATAACTTTAACATTTAATTAAACCTCATTATGTTGTAGTTTTTACAGATTATACATCACTTTGTACGTGTATGTTGATTATTAATCAAGGAATGGCATGTAGATATCAGTATCGCATTTTTCTTTAATTTACCAAAGCGATTTTTTATCTGGAATTTATTCATTCACATTGGTTTGAAGTAGCACCATCTGCTGAAACAATTGTCAAAATTATAATCTCTCAAGGAATTCAAAGTGACTTATTGCCATTGCACCATATTGAGTGACTTAGAATTTCTAATGTTTATATAGAAACTGTTAGAGAAACTGTTAATAAAAAGATCCAATTTAGTACTGCAATGTCAGTGGCAAAAACTGGTATACAAATTGCAGTGTCAAAAAATGCTACAGCTGAATTAATTGGAATTCTTAGGAGCATGCCAGAAATTACGTAATTATGCTCAATTAGAGACCTGACCATTTACCCACTATGTGATTGAATTCTGATTGGCTAAAAAAATACATATAATATAATATATAATATATTATATTAATATATATATTATAATACAATTAGTTTGCTATCAAATAATCCAATTATTTTGACGATTACATCCTACTGGGTTGATATAGCTTATGATAATTTGTTTGTATGGTATATAAACTACATATCAATAAAGCATATATAAATCATTAAAAAAAAAAAAAAAAAAAAAGTCTGAAAGGGCCAAGTTTACACCAAAATTTATTCATAAAAAACCATTTTTCCTTGGCGCTGCTGGTAACTTTCAGTATTTTGTTTTAAACATCAACCATCTAAAAAAAGAGAAAAATTGAATGTTAACAATGCTTTGTTAGAATAAATAAATTCGAAAAAATACATTTGCAGATGTTCTCACCAAGTTTCTATGTATCCAAAGGGCTAAGAAACAATGCCTAAAAAAGAAAAAAATGTTAAAAACTGGT